CAAGGTGAAGAAGAAACTCATCTCATTATGTTCCTAGAGGTCGCCATCTGGGATGAAATTTCCTTCTTGTCTCTTGACAGTTTGAAGCGGTACTAATGTTATTTACAGACCATGTTAATGGTTACAAGTGTAGTCTCCACCGCCACCTCCTTCAGAAATATATTGATTGCCAGAGCTGTAGTCAGTCAGTCTGGTTGAATTATAGTTGGTGTTTATCTGGTTAATTCCAGGAGTTCTGGCATTGATTGTACCTGCCTGAGTGGAGTGTGACTCTGCTGCAGTGTGGGACAACCAATGGGGGGGCACTGTGAGTGTGCAGTCCACCAGCCAATTACTGGTACCAGTGGTGCATGCTGGGATAGTGGATGTATACTCAGGGAAATTGCTATGTGCTCAGTCTAGTCTAGTCCTGTTCTGGGATAGCCCAGACAACAGTCAGGGCTGGGTTTAGTTCAGCCTGCCCCTAGGTCTGGGCCTGGGGGTGGGAATACTCAAGTGAGGGAAATGCGTTGCTAGACCTCAGGTCTGGAGGAGGCCTTTGCTACTGATTGAGGAGAACCAGGGAAGCTGATGGCTGTTGTATGTGCCTGGAATAGAGTGGACCTCAGGAGCAAGTCTGGAGACTCTTCTATCGAAGATTCTGTGCCAATCCCTATTCAACGGTTGCTCTTACCCAGTTCAGCGTGTGCTCCTATTGAATCTGCACTGGAATTCGTAAAGGGACTGGTGTGTCTGCAGTCTGTCTACTGTTCCCATGAATGTCCTAAGCCCTATACCTTCTCTCCTTTTTCAAGAATTCTAATAAAAGTTCTTTACCATCATACTTTTGGCCTAGATTTCAGCTCTGTTGGACACTAGAAGAGGGGGTTCATGCTAATGGGGCAGCTGGTTGCTAAAATCCCCTAGAAAGGCTATGGGTGACCCGGGTATTCCAGTGGCTCCTTCGAGGGTGAGCACTACACAAAGTTTAATGTAGAACACCAGCCAAAACATTTTTTTGGGGGATAGCATTAGAAAGGGTTAGAGCAGGGGTAGGCAACCTTGGCACTCCAGCTGTGAAACTACCAATGTCATCATGCTTCTGCTTCCGGGAATCTACCTGTGGCTGTCAGAGACTTGCAATTTAATGAGTTGTTGGTTCCACAACAGCTGGATTGCCAAGGTTGTCTATCAATAGGTTGAAGCCAATGTCATCTCTTTTGGGATGATGTACTATTATTCACCACTTTGCTTGTGGTAGGCGGTTAATGGGACATGAAGCTAGGGTAAATCTGCCCAGTGGGACCCTTAGATAATGATAAAATGCTGACAAAGGTAATGACCTTTTCCCACTCCACCCAAAAATTAAAGGTTTGACTGAAGTTTCAATTGAGAATCCAGCTTTCAGGCGGTTCTTTTGGTTTTGCAGCACCATAACGTTGTGTATATTATTTGGTGATATAGATGAGAGGGGTACCATAGACACCAGCAGTAACTTGACCCATAACTCTTAGGGTGGGGTTCAACTCTGAACAATGAGGCTGAATAAAATGTCGTTACCCATAGCAACCAAGCAAAAGGGCTTTGAGTTTGTGATAGAATTTAGCTTCCTGTTTGTACCAAGTGCCTGTACCAAATGCCTTGCCTCTGATTGTTCCTGCTTACTAGACCCCTCGCCTGGATAACTCATACGCTACTGATTGCAGGCAGCCTTGACCCTTGCCTGGATAACAGATTACGCTACCGTTAGGCGCCTGCTCTGACCCTTGCCTGGATAATGAATTAATGCTACTGACTGCCACACGCCCTGAACCTTGCTTGAATTATGGACCTGTCCTGACCACTGCATTACATCCACCCAGTCACTAGTGCTGTTCGCTCCAGCAAACTGTGTCTACCTTGAAGCATAATGCATCTTAAAGCCATCTGGCATGGTATATTCACTCTTGCTCTGAGGTCGCTAAGGAGTGCCCCAGTTCTGCAAATACAGCACTACATCTTAAGTCCTGGGGGCATACAAGAACAGGTAGGCATATTAGCTTTAACCTTTTCTCTGCCACCACTGTAAGGCATATGGAGGAACACAAGTGCTTCCAGCTGACCACCGCCGTAAGGCATACAGTGGAACACAACTGTTACGTAAGGCATACAGCGGTGGCTTTCATCCTTCTGCTATATATCACAAGGGTTCTCTGTAAATGAATAGCTGATAAGCTGCTGATGACAGCTACTCGTTAAAATCCGCACCCCCCAGCTACTGCCACTGCAAACTGACAGAGCCATTCCATGCTCTGATCTCAGTCCTCTAGGATCTAGGATCTCCACTGTCCTGTGCAGAGGAGGGAGCTGTCAAATTCAGGATGCCAAGTGGGGAGGACTGAGCAGAGCCGCTGTCAAGTTCTGGAGAGTGGATATGTGCGTGGCTGAACAGTTCAGGATGCCGAGCGGAGGATTGGTAAATATGTGTAATATTTACAGATCCTTCCCTGTGCAGAACAAATACTAGAGTGATTGCTGATCACTCCAGTGTTTGTAAACAACTGGGGACATAGTATGTGTCCTCAAAAATGAACAGGAAGTGCTGTACATCACTTCCTGTTCATTCATGAGTTTCTGAATGGACAGAGTACTATTGCTCCTCAGTTTATAAATAAATAGAAAGCCAATGTACTGAGTGCATTCTTTTCATTAAGAACAGCTGCAGAAAGAGATTGGGACTCTGTGTCCTCAATTTCCTTTTCTATTTCAAAAGGGAAATGTCAGGGGTCTATTTAGACCCCTCATATTTTCCTGAAGTCCCCCCCCAAAATAAAAAAGTAATAAAACACAACAACCCCCTACACACACATAAAATACTTATGCAGCTGTGTGCACCATATTATGCACATGCGCTCCGTTATTAGAAAACACCACACTGCTTGATTTTTTATATTTAAAATAACATTAATTTAACTGTGTGGCAGCCCATGGCAATGCGTTGTGATGCATTGCAATGCACTGCTGTGTGTTGTGATATGCTGTGTTGCAATTAAATATATGTCTGCATAATTTTATCACAGCACAAAGCTTAACACAGTGTACAAACGGCACTGCAGACCAGGCGTTAGCACAACACAGATTTTTAAACATAAGTTGCTTATTTACAGTTTTGCGTTCCTTGGGTTTTTTTTACCATTTTGCAAAAAAGCACAATCTCAAATTTCCAAATATTTGTTTTTTATTACCTCAATAAAGTTTTATCTTTTAGATTTAGTCAGAATCTTGTAAATTATGTTTTTTGGCGTGCGCTGATACTAATTTTTATGTGTTTTTATTTATTTAATTGTGTATGTTTATTGTTTTGTTATTGATTTGATGAACATTTGCGCAATTATCGCTGGCCCTACAAAATTAGTAGCACCATCTTTTTATCCTACTGGTTCTGTGCTTTCAGGAAATTAATCTTTTTTTTTCTTTTACAAACTCTAAAAACAGCAGTTGAAAATGTAAACACATTATGTATATTAATGCATATTAAATATGAACAGGTAACCTTACAACTGGGTCTGTTTTCTAATTTTGTATCGAAAAAGGGAAAGTTAAACTACTGTCCCTTTGTTATTATTATATTATTATTATATTTATCCAATATTATTCAATCAATCCAATATAGCAATATTATTATTATTATATTTATATTACGGTTATAAAACAGTTTTCTTCTAATCACCTTAACATGCTCTATAATTTCAGTATAGTGATTTTGAATGCTTTTGGGTCACCACATATCAGTTCATCTCAGAAAGAAAGGTTAAAGGCTTGCAAACAACCATGACAAAGGTTAAGTAAACTTATAAATGTTTCAAAGAAACAGCAGGCACTTAAGATCTTAGCTATAGGTTAAACAGGAACTCAATGGCCATGAAGTGCATGCAAGCAACCTAACCTTGCAATTATAATTCTTTTACTGGTCAGCACAAATTTTGCTATAACTTTTCAGATTAAATTACTAAACTAAATTGTAGAAAAGAATGAACAAGACTTAGATATTCTTTGTGGCAACATAGGTTTTAGTTTTCTCATCAATAACAGGAAATTCCCACACAAACCTAAGTGGAACTTCATTACAATTTATAGTAAGGTTAATAACTGAACAGAGACCTTCATGTAAAATTACTGTGTAATTATCTGGAAACATTTCATGGTAAAATGAATAAAGAAAACACCGAAACACAAGGAAGGTACTTGAGAACAGTTTTAATAAATAATGTGACAAAAACTTATGTTTTGGATTATCTGATCCTCAGTATGCAAAATTATGGCTAAAAATAAGACGTTTTCTTAAATGAACAATAATAAAAACAATAATCACATGGTTTGTTCCCTTACGATTCTCAAACTTTGAAAGTGTTTTACTTGTTTAAAATAAAGATTTTTTTTAACAAAAGAAAGTATTTCACTTCTGGTTCTTTGAGACCTTAAGGCCGCCATGTTAAAAAAAATAAAAAAAAGTTTATGCTTTAGCACCATTGGCAACTTAAGGTTCACAATATACCAGGTACAACATTCATGGACAGAAAACATTATGTGGTAATTTATAGCACATATGTGCTATTTTGAGATTGGCAGAATTATTCAAATTGCTGTAAAAATGTTTTGTTTTCCATTTCAGTTTATCCAGTTTATGCTGTATTTTATGCCATGAAAAATTGGAATTTCATTTACTTACACCATAGAAGCAGGAACTAGGACTCTGCTGGCTGTTTTCAATACGGACAATTTTTTAGCTTAAATTTCTAATATAAAAATATGATAAGTGAAACTCTCCTCGCAGCTTGATAAAGATGAAATATAAAAAATAAATTCTAAAAAAAAGTTACATGGATTTCCACTGAACTTTTGATTTTATGTGTATTTAAGGAGTTGGGGAATATAAACAAAACTCCCCATTTGAGTTTCATATAATTGTTCTTCTTATAATTGATTGCAAAATGCTTGTATTTTCCTATTGCAATAAGAAAAGAAAAAGTGTTCTTATTTATCATGTTAAAATTTTAATGTCTTTTTAGACCAAAACTACATACATGGAGCTATTTTTTCAGATGCCTTTTAATTACCTTAAGTGTTTTTTTTCGGTCAAGTTCCTTACTATGGCATAAATAAATATTAAGAGATGTGCAATAAGCCTTTTTTGTCACTACTGACTGACCCCAGAGAGACACATTTCCCTTGGAGAAAGGCTAAAAATTATTTTTTTCTAGAGATTAATTTTTAGTCAGTGATGATAAAACACAGCCTTGACACAACTTATTCATAAAGACATACACAGAACCAAATATATTTCACCATCGGCTAACTTTCCAAACAATCTGACAATAAATTCAACATTAATAAAATGCATTAACAAAAATAATAATAACAATAATGATTTTTTGACATTTTCAATAAGACAAAAAAAAGGTTAATAGTTGCAATGGTTTAAAAATAAAGTTTAGTGATTGTGCTTTTAAAACCAACAAAACAGTGCATTACAAAATAACCATATCAAATCAAATTTCCTGAAGTGGCACTTTTCTTTTCTCAGCGGGACTGACTTTGCGAAGAGGCGCCATCTGATAAATAACCAAAGAGGGTTAGCACTTTTTTTTACTTGGTGTTTTATTACAAATGTTATACTTTTTGTTTTTTCTTCTTTTTTTTCCTACAAATGTTGTTGAATGGAAAAATAAATGATTTTCTGTAAGATTTTTTTTCTATGAATCCCAAGACCACCAGGCATTTGACTGGCTTGACTTCCGCATGAGCAATAGGATGTAATACCAAAGATACTTTTAATGATGGACAATGAAGAAGACAAGTACCACAGAAATTTATGAAAAAGTACATATTTACAATGAAATCACCTCCATACTGCTTTATAAAGTAGGGCAATGAAGGTCAATACTGCTGGACAGTAATTTCAGGTCTACAACAAAAACATCCCGGGTTATATGCATTTTCACCTAATGAAACCTTATGGTCAGTTGTGAAAATATTACACATTTGCAGATGGATTCTCATTGTTTGAGTGGCTGCTCTAGTCTATGGATAGACACTGGTGCTTTGGTGGTTTGAAGGCAACGCTCTGCGCTACTTCCCAATGGAGCTTGATAGGCAAGAGTTGTTCTAGGAGAGCTTGGTGGGCAGAAAGCTTACAATTCCAGTCTTGGCACCTTTGGCTGTCTGTTTCTCTAAAGCAGCAGTCTTGGCACCAACACCTTGAGACTTGACAACCTGCCTTTGTGGCTGGAGCAGTAAGAAGGTGCCTAGATTAAGTGCTGCTTTTGGGGTGCTGGGGGCTACGTCAAGGTGGCCTTATACAAAGAGGGTGTAAACAAGTAAAGCGAAAAAGGTTCTCAGCTGTTATGTGTATAAAATGAACGAACGCGTACAATCTGATTGCACTGAACAGTATCTCTGGCATAAGGTCTTTCATCTTGAGGCATCTTGAGGAATTTATTATCTGATAGAATCTCCAACATTTCCATCTTTATCTTTCAACTTTCTGTTTCCTGTAAAACAAAATGACAAAATGGTTTGAACATATATTTCTTTCAACTAATCTTCTCCATCAGTTATTCCCCAAGTAGTTTTAATGCCCTTACTAAAGCAACATAATATTTCAATTCCCGGGGTTAGCCAATTCATTTTTACTAATGAAAGCAACCATGATAAAAATCTATGCTTTTAAAGTATGATTTATGGGGTTGAGCCAAACGCCTACCATAAATAAGAGTGAAGGCTACATTTAAAATCAGGAAATTAAGTTGCAACAGAGAAAATCATTTATTTTATGAAAACTTAAATAAGAACTCCCTTCTATGCACACTTGTAAATACAAAGAATATGCTTATTATTATTAAACTTATTATTTTCCTGAAGTTAATTTCAAAACAAAGCCACTGATACACATAATATGAAAGTTTGTTTCCTAAAACAGAAAACACCTCTGTCTTTGGGATTTACAGTAGGTTTGAAAATGTAGCTGAACAAATATATGTGAGTATATACTATATATCTATCTATATATATATATATCTATATATCTATATAGATATATAGATATATATATATATAGTATATTTATTATCTCATAAAATTAAATGTGGCATCAAAACAATGTGAACTGACAGTTTTCTGTGTCCTTGCCCTTTCCCAGCTGTGATTTCTCCAGCAAACTGACTAAAATGTAAAAAACATCACAAGTGCACTGGTCTTGTGCACGAAGTCAAACAGAATTTTGATATATAATAGATTAAAATCACTGACAAGTAAATAAAACATATAAACTCATCTATCTGATCATCGTTAGTTGGTTCTGAATGTCCTCACAGGAAAGTCTGCCAAAACTTCTCTAAACTCCTCATAGAGACCACTGCTACTGCTCCTGCAGCATACATTGCTGACTGTCACGTTTTTCTAAAGTTTTGACAGAGCTTACTGTGAGGACATTGAGAGCCAACAAATCACTGCTTGTCAGTGATTTTAAACTATTATATATTAATTTGGACTTAGTTTACCAGGCTAGTGCACTTGCGGTGATCAACATCTTACATCCTGGTGCCTGAGCAACAGGAGGTAGGAGAAAGTGGTTTACAACTCTCCATTGCCAGCCAAACCTGATATTTGCTTAAAAACCACCCCAGCTTTCAGGACTCCTGAGAGCTGAAGCAGATTTTGAAAGATATGTGCAGGTCCCGGCTTTTCCTTTGCCTGGCAGTTGTCAGTACAGGTTTACCTCAATGTCATCTTCATCAACTGTACGTTCATATGACCCTAAAAGCTGCATCTCTGCTGCATTTCTTCTTCCTGCTGGTTGATCTGTTCTTCGTCTTCCACCCGAGCCTCTCGAAGACATAGAGCTGGAGGAGCTAGGATCTCTAGGATTATTTGATGTGGGGAATGATGGTTTACAATATGGCAAGATATCCTCTGTAGAAGACAACGTGTATCAATTAATATTGTGTGAAGAATAGGAACTCAGCAAAATGAAAACAGAACAATACCAATAAGTATGGATTTACACCACTTCCATTGCATCTACCGTACATTGATGTATGCTAAATGCACTTGAGTTGATGTGCTTTGACATCAGCTTTTTAAACACACAAAAACTTAGCATGCATTGCAGTGTGCTATGAAATGTTTTAACGAGTTGTGCTGTGTTGAAACGCAGAATGTCCCATTTTAACCCAACACAACACATTGCTGTGAACTGAGCCTATTGAAACAATGTAATTCAGCTTGCTATTGCACTGGGCCTCCGTTGAGCAACGCAGCCCAATGCAAATGCTGTGAATGAGCCCTAAAATCTCAATAATATAATATTTAGAAATGTGAATCCATTTGTTAGCCTAAATGACAGAAGCAAAGGACTACAGGAGCAATCATGGTTGGATAACCCATGGTACTATGACACGAGTTCCATGTTTACACTGACACTGGGTTATGAGAACAAATGCAGAAATGTCATCTATTATGGCTCAATAGCATTATTCTCCTGTAAGACAATTATGCATTTGAATTTGATATCTATTCTGTAGAAAATCTGGTAAAAGGCTGTCATCACCATAGGACTAATTTCTCTCAAGTCTGTTTATTCAATTATGGGCATATAAACAGTGGTGAACAGAATCACATGCTGTTCTCCCATGTATTGCCAGGGGTGAAGTTACCCCATTAGAGCTCTTTACTCCATCTACCAAACTGTGGAATCCTTGCTGCTGAACCCTCAAAAATGTATAATAAAAATAAACAAAGAATGCAACAGCTTTTTTCAGCCATCCATAGTGACTGGTGACTTGAATTTAACTCTAGGGTTCTTATTACCAAAGTTCTTGGGGTAGATAATACATCAGAGGGTGTTTGAAACTGCCCACACCCACCCCAGTTTTAAATATTATTTTTAGGTAGACTGACACTGTAATCAGCCCTCTCACTGTCTCTGTTAGTCTATATTTGTAAAAGCAGGAGAAGGTTTGATGGCATTTGCCAATCCTTCTCTCAACATATTCCAGAGTGGTCATTCTGCTGGCTGTAGACTATGGTTTGTTTCAGTATTGGCACAAGTAATGAATGGTAAGTATAAATGACTTACCTTGTATTTGAGAGGCTTTTGTTGGTGTGCCATCTTTCTTTGCTAGTTTCCCTCGTTTCATTCGCCCATCAATGTGTTGCTCTAGAGATTCCCTTTTCTCTCCTGAATTTGTCCGAACTTCAGGGTGTTGTCTGCTATCCACTCCATCCCTCCCTCTGTAATTGGGGCCTTTCCTTTCTGCTGGCCTGTCTAGTCTTTGTTCTGCCAACATATACTTTTGTGGCATGCCAGAACGTACATCGAGCAGTGCTCTGGAAGGTCCAGTTGGAGATTTAATGGCTGGAGGTGGCAGCGGTGGAGGTGGTAAATCTAGACAAAAAAAGAAACATGTTTCATGTACGACTAAAACATATATATATAGTTATAGCTGAATTTGTTTATAATGTATTGTGAACTGACAGTTCATAGTGACCATGCATTTTAAATATCTATCAGTAACAATCCTGGTGGATTTGTCAGTGTAAAATGATCAATCATAATTACTGTGGCTTGATGACTGGCACTCTCTATGTTTAAGGCCTATTTTAAATGTTGTGGATGGGCTTACATTTTAGGATCAGGTTATGTGTAAAGTATTAAATGTAAGTGTGAAGTTGAGCATTCAGCAGAGAGGAAGATTTTGGGGTTGATTTACTAAAGACAAATATACTGTTCACTTTGTAATGGAATTTTCACTTTGCAAGGGATGTTTTGCTTGCACATTACAGATGTACTGATACCGATACTAGCATCGGTATCGGTGCCAATACAGAGTATTTGGGCAAGTACGCGTACTTGCCCAAATGCTCCCGATACTTATCCAGATACCAGAGCTTTCGGTATCAGGAAACTTGGCGACGAGTCATTACACGCCATCCGGCTTCCTTAATGGGACTTTCGGTATCAGTATTTGGTACCAGTGAGTACCCCCCCAAAAAATATGGGTACTCGTACTCGATACCAAAAAAATGGTATAGGTGCATCCCTAATGCACATGATTGGATGATGGCAGATTTTCTATTAATTCAGTAATCTAAAAGAATTCCTTGCAAAGTGAAAATTCCCTTACAAAGTGAACAGCCTATTTGCGTTAAAGCGGAAGAAGGGTAAACTGCAAATTGACAGGCCTTTTATATCATAAATTGACACTGTGGATGTGTCTTCTGTGATAAAAGCTTCTTGATGCCATTCAGCAGGTTTTGTTTTTCTGTACACTGAGCTGCACATGCACAGCTCAGTGCACACACCTGACATGCCGACATAAAGTATGCTGGGTGGTTATGTCATTGTGGCCTGGCCAATCAAGCAGCCAAAGACTAAAAACTGGGAAGAGGACTGAGACAAAGATGGAAGCACCAGAGAGGGAGGAGCACAGCTCTGGAGGGGATTGGTTTGACAGGTAAGTCTGCCATAATGTGCTAATATGCTGTGCAACTGGCACGTTAGGGCTAAAAGCTCCAGCCCCATTTTCTTTATTTTTACATTTTCATTTACTTCCATTTTAAGTAAACCCCCATGAGTCACATTTAAGGGTTAGGTAAGGGCTATTGCAGAGAAAGTGAGGGGAGTGCTTCAAATGTTAGAGCCACTTAGAGAAGCTTAAAAATGTTAACATGTTTTCAGTGCCAAAAGCCCCAAAGCAAGGAATGCCAGGGCTGGGGTTTCCTTACCAAAAATGAATGTAAAGTGATGTGCTAAATAATAGAAACATTTGCATTTGCATCTAAATTTTACTTGTATATTTGTACCAAGGAATTTATATTATTTAATCAGTTACAGTATTTAAACATTAAGTTGTGCATACAAATATAAATAATAGGAACTTACACATAACATAAGGTGACCTCTGCTGTTTATTCTGCTATCCAATCTAACAGTCCTTGTGTACAAAGACTGTTGTAAGTACTTTATTGCGCCCACTCTCAGTTCACAGCTCTCTCACAATCTCCAGATAGCAGATGTGAAAACTATGGGGTCTATTCACAAAGCTGCCGAAGGATCTGGCCGTAGCTTCGGCCGATCCTTCGGCTAGCTTCGGCCCCAGGACCCCTTCGGTTCAGTAGAACCGAGGGGGTGCTGTACGGGCTATTCACAATAGCCCGTACAGCTCCCGATCATTGCCGAGCGGCTCGGTCGAGCCGGTCGCATATGCATCGGCTCGGCTGAGCCGTGCAACTTCACTTCTGATCGGTCATTCACTCGGCTGCCCTCGGCAGCTTTGTGAATAGACCCCTATGTGTGAAAATCAAGTTTACCCAAAAGTCTGGTGTCTATGAAGTATGCCCAGACACAGTGATGATCCCCCCTTACCGATAAGCTGGAAGTATTTTTTTTTCCTAATAGCTATGCTGTCAACTTCTGGAATAAAAATCCAGGCAATTCCGAAAGAAGGGATAACATTATTGTATCTGGGCAACTCTTCATGGACATTAGACTTATAAAGATAAAGTTGATAATACACAAATGCTATCTAGGGATTGCTGCAGAGCTGTGACATGAGAAAGGGAACAATTAAGACCTTACAAATGCCTCTATGCACATGAGATAGCAGAAAAAATTGTAAGGGTCACTTTAAGTGTCAAAGCCAGTTCATATCATTTATATCTATACACACAATTTAGACAGTTTATACTGTTTGAATACTGTAAATGAATAAATATTTAAATTAAACACTACATATTAGTACAGAAAGCAGAGTGTCCCTTGGTAAACTGACCATTGAAGAGTGTGGCATTTTGTGGGTTGTCTATCACTGTCTCTCAAGCTATTAGTATTGGCGTATTACAAGAATACCATACCAATAAATGACTAAAGGGTCTATTCACAAAGCTGCCGAAGGATCTGGCCGTAGCTTCGGCCGATCCTTCGGCTAGCTTCGGCACCAGGACCCCTTCGGTTCAGGAGAACCGAGGGGGTGCTGTACGGGCTATTCACAATAGCCCGTACAGCTCCCGATCACGGCCGAGCGGCTCAGTCGAGCGCTGAGAGCCCTCGGCAGCTTTGTGAATAGACCCCTAAGACTATCTGGATTGACTTTGGAATTCTGTCACCTAGAAATGTATTCAGTCAGCAACCTTGCGTATCTATATGGTGAAATCTAATATCCTTGCCATTTACAGTAGGTGATACAACATTCCATATTGTATATTATTATGGCCATTAGATGCATACACTACATATTTGTGTTCTACACTTGATCGCTAAAACCTTACAGAAGCTTGTTGATGTTAATGTAATTTTAAAAGTCGTTTTTTTAAATCTTCAATTAAAATAATCCCTGGTGATCCTGCCATGAAGGTCTGTGTTCAGGTACTTATTGTTATAGGGTGACAAATGTCTGCCAATTTTTCTTCTGCATTGTCAACCTGCCAGATGCACTCCTGGTGGTGACTACATGTATCCGTGATGACACATGGTCCACTGTTCACAATCAGAAACTTGGTCCAGAGTAATAATGTGTTGCCAATGGTGGAGAAAATGCACATAGACAGGAAGTAATTGAAAGAGGTTGAAAAAGATTAGAAGCACCGAGATGGAAGAAGGATAAAAAAATGTACAGAGAAAAATACACGGCAGTTGTTTATGATACACAGTCTACACAGCAAACTAACAGGGTTATTCACAAAAGGGTGAAGAGTTAGGAGAAGGCAGGAGAAGTGAACAATCTAGGACAACATAGCTGAATTGGAGAATTTTTCCAAATCAGCTATTTTGGTCTAGATTGTACACTTCTCCTGCCTTGTCCTAACTCTTCACCCTTTTGTGAATAACCCTGGAAATGTAATCCAGTTAGGGATTAGTTATTTACATCTACTTTAAATTAGCCTATTGAACTACAGTAAACTCCAAGAAATCTGGCACCTACAGAGATCGATATAGGTTCCGGATAACTGTAGTTTCTGGTTGCTTGAGAGATAAGATACTGAGTAGAGGAGCGGACAATTAAAAAGTTATCTCTCTTAGGTCCACTCCTCTGCTCAGTGGGTGGGTGCAATAGCCATCTTGCTATTGCAATTTGAAAAAGCCAACAGCAGGCTGGCTATTTCTCACTGTTGTTTACATTCAGCTGCTGACTGCAGAATCTAGCCGCCTCCGGCAGCAAGATGTAAACAAATTATTTTGTTAGCAACTAAATATATTTAGTTGCAAACCAAATTTTTTAGTGTGCACCAAGCAACCAACAATGTTTTAGTGGTGTGCATCAAGCCACTGGAAAAAAACACAATCTAGGACATATTTTGTGAGAGTGCCAGTTGCCTTGAATGCCGGATAATGGTTCATTTACTGTACTTAGATACATCATTCTGATCCAGTTTTGTATTACATGTAAATATGTAAAGTTTACTATGGCAGCTTCTGGTTGACAAAACATGTGGAGACCTGCATTGCTACGACTATTCTGCTGCAGGATATGGTACATTTTCCTTAGAAAAAAAGAGCATAAAGTGCTTGACAAAGAAAGCAAAACCAGGAGTTGTTGCCTTACTTTGCCTTGCAATAACGGTGCGTGTAATATCTAAATGAGCATTAAAATGACTAAAAGCTGAATAAACTGGAAACAGCAGCGACTAATTTGACAGAAATTTGCTATTTATACTTACATTACAGGCCTACTAATTGAAGCGCTGACATTAGGAAGGAGCGGGAGTCTATTTTAGACAATATGCTGAATAAGACACAACTTATATTGATCACATATATCAAATTTACTGCGTTAATGCAGGGTGCATTCTAATGGCCACTAAGGCCAAGCAGCATCTCTCTACATTATTCCTTTTCCAAATGAGGATGGAAATTCAATGAATTTTCATTTGTTTCTCTCCATTTTAATTTTTTTTATTTTATGCAGGTTGTAAGGCTCAGTTTGCTAAGAAATAAACAGAAGATGAATAAAGGTAACCATCATGTTTTTAAAAGGGTGTTAAATTTCCATAAGGTCATTAGGATTATCTATTCCTCTATCAGCCCTTTGCAAAGGTGCATTAAATGTAGAGCTCAATTTGCTTTAGGACTTGTTCACACCGGCCTGAATTTTCCTGTGTTCCAGCACAGGATAATCCCCTTCTTCTAAAAAATCAATATTAATTAATGGACCTTCTGCACATCTGATGCAATTCACTAATGTGCATTAAGAGAATTGAGCCTGCAGTATTGTGGCCTGTGGACGTTCACTTTAGCATCTAGCGAAACTAAAAGGGGATCGTCACAACATGCTTAAAGCAGAAACACGTACAAAAATGTCTATTTTCGTCCATGGTACATAAGAATATGGTGTGACTGCAGCCTGTAACTGGATGAGATTTAGTTTATTAAAACACTGCACATCATAA